GGAGCGGGGTCGGGGCGCGGCCGGGCCGGGGAGTGGGTCAGAGTGTCTAGCGAGAGCCGCTTGGTTGGTGCGGGGGAAGGCAGAGGGAGAGAGCAGACTGTTAGGGAACGCGGCTCTTACCTGCTGTGCCTAAGTGCTGAACAGTCGAGCTGGAAGGGAAACGCACCCTCTTGAAAGGTACGTCTGCAAATGTGACGGGTTTGTTTTGTTTTAATTAGCTCCGCGGCCAAAGGCTTTGAAGTAACCATGGATAAACGAGGAGGCATAACAGAAACTGAAAATGGTGATGCTTTCCTGGAGCTGAACAGGATTACAGCAAAATACCCCCATCGTTACACAAAGGTTAGCTGTCTCTTCTTTCCTCTTTAAGTTGTGTGTGGAGCTGTTGGTCGCAGAAGTAGAGTGGGAGGTGGAGGCTTCTGTGAGAGGGAAGCAATAAGGTGAAAGCTGAAAAGCCTTTGCCCGGATTAGGATTTGCAAGGTGGTATGAAATGAGCAGTTTGTTAAATGTGATGTAGCTGTGCAACCCTGTCCTCGATATACTTGGTTCCCCCACCTAATTGTAGCACCTGAGCACCCCACAGCATGTGCTGAGAGATTATGGTGGTTTGTTGTTCTGCCAGCTTTCTCAAGCACTTTCACTTCATAGTTCTAGTGCTTCTTTCAGCAGTGTTCTTTAACAAGCTGAGCAAAATGCTTCCTTGCAGTAGATGCCACTTCCTAGAAAGTAGCACACCAGATCTTTTCAGGAGCTTTAACATGTTTACTTGGATGCCTTTTGCAACCTCAGAATTGCTCATGTTTGGCTGCTGGAGGCCCAGCCTGTGCTTGGTGTTAAAACTTTGGCACAGGTGCTTTTGTTTAACTGTGGTACTTAAATATCTGCATGAGTGGAAGAAGAATAAAGAACTTGGCAATAAAGGATTCTTTTGGTGCTCAGTCAGTTTGATGTGCTGTGGGGTTTTGGTGCCACTGCTGGAATATGGCTTTGGAAAGAGCCTGTAATGGTGGCTAATTTTCCCATGGCTGCAAGCTGTGGGAACAGGTGGTCATTGCTTTGTGGAAATCTGTTAAGATCCTTTGCAGCAAATGGCCTGAAGCGTGGAACAGGGTTAGATAGTTTGCTGTTGCTGACTGTGTTATCTTGCTTGAGGAATTCAGAGCTGTTTGCTTCCTGGCAGGTTGTTTTTGAAAAGGGAGAAAATTTATCACTCTGTCCCTGTCCTGCTGAGATAGTAGAGCTCTAGATTATGTTAACTAGACATCAACAATGAACCATGTACTTCAGAATTGGCAAAACCTGCATGGAAATGGTATAGCTTTCTAATTATCTCAAGCTTCTTAAAAAAGAGGTGCACTTAACTCTCTAGGATGCAGAGTATGTTGTTGTTCAGACCTTGTTATTCCATTAACTGTTAAGTGAAGCAGAGGAGCTGTTTTTGAACTTTCCCTGCTGAAAAAGTGTTATCTACACTTGTTTAGTCTTGCTGTACTCCTCTCAGGAGTACTAGCTGAATGCAGCTTTGAGTTGTGCTTGCTTTTGGGGCAGTATTCAGCTAGTGCTGTTTGTAGCCATACACTGAAGTTTGTTAATTCAGTACCTGTAGTTTCTGATCAGGATAAAGTTGCAGAACTAGTGTCAGAAGGTGTCTAGTCTTGTTTATTTCTTGGTTTCCAAGGAGTCTAAATCAAGAAATACCAGAAATCTGTGTCAAAATATCTTGCATCGTATCATGGGGGTTCTTTTGCATGTAACAGCTCAAATGTTGTAGATGGTTTAAGGTGCTCTTGTAATCAGCATTGCAAGGCATTTTCACATGATCCAGTTTCCTGTTCATTAGGGATGGAAGGGACACTGTTTGGGGTCATGTACTGCTGATTTGGAAAGGGAACCGATCTCCTTTAACAGTTTATATTCGTTTACTACCAGTAGGAAAACAATTGATTCATACTATGAGTATCTAAGCTGTTTGATTAAAACTGTTTAGTAACAGCTAAACACTTTTCCCCTACCTGCTGAAAAGTGCTAATGTGTGAATTAAAAAAAATGCCCCAGCACTAAAACCACACTCTGAAAGTGTCATCATTCATCTGTTATGGGAGTGCTGCATAGTCCAAGCTGTGTCTTTTCTAGTTCTTGGGAAGCTCTTGCTCTGAGGTGCTCAGCTAATAAGCAAAAGCCAAGAAACAATTCAAATTTTCCTCACTTGAGTGGCAGAATTGTGATAGGATGTGAGAGAGCCTATGCACTCCCTCTCGTGGCCAGCAAACAGCCCATTTCCAATCTGGTGATGGGCAGGGCTGGGAATACTTGTAGTATCTGCATCAGGCTGTGATAGTATTACAGCACTGATGCTCCTTGCAGATTGAGGTTTATTTTGGGAAGCAGTGGGCAGAAAGGCCAAGTGTTCCTCCCTTTAATGGAGCTGTTTTTGCTGAAGACTAGCACAGGCTGATGCTTAGATGTGTGTAAAGGTTTTGTCCAGCTACCAAATTGCCATCTGGAAACTTTCAAGTATTAAGCTCATATAGCTAATGAACTAATTTTAATCACTTGGGGATAATGATGTAAAAGCTCTAGAGCATATTGTATGCTTGGGGAAAAAGGGTAAAGAGGTTTCCTTCAGTTTGGCTGATGTGTGGTGCCTGCTGTTAGGATTTCTTTATCCTTCCAGCTGCCCACTGATTCCTGCACAGTTCTGAATCCATTCAGTACAGTTGGGCGTGAGGCAGAAAAGTAATCTAGAGAATGAGTAAGTCTCATTAGAAGTGTGCATCTTGACTGCAGCCAAGTTAATGATGATTTAAATTACTGATGATTGCATCATTAATAATGCTTTTTAAATGTAGCAAACTGCAGTGAGACTGGATTGATTGCCAGTCAAATGACTGACTGCTCAGGGTGTGCAGTGGTAAACTAAGTGCTCTGAATGCTGATAAAGTGGGAGAACAAGTCATTGAGCATTGGTTTGGTGTTGGGTGAAATGGGTAATTGTGTAACCTACATTCTGGTATCTTGGAGTTGGTGATGGCCAGAAATGGTAAGCTTGTCTGGAACTTCCAGATCTACACCAGTAACTGGTAAATGACTGACTGCTCAGGGTGTGCAGTGGTAAACTAAGTGCTCTGAATGCTGATAAAGTGGGAGAACAAGTCATTGAGCATTGGTTTGGTGTTGGGTGAAATGGGTAATTGTGTAACCTACATTCTGGTATCTTGGAGTTGGTGATGGCCAGAAATGGTAAGCTTGTCTGGAACTTCCAGATCTACACCAGTAACTGGTATTATGGTAATGTTATCTGCTGTTCTTACATAGCATTAAACACAGCAGTTTGGTTCCTTGCTGAGAACTGACTAGCTCCAGTATCCACAATGCCTGTCTTGCTTAAGCTGAACTGTCCAGGGAAGTGGTTACGTAAACATGTATGGTGTGGATATCCATGGAGTGGTCACAAGGACTGAACCTGACCTAATAAGGCTTAGTGCTTCAAATTAGTGGTTGGTCAGTGGCCACTGCTGGAACAACTGAAACAAAAACTTGCTGTCAAATGTCAACTTCACTGCAGGAAATGAAACAACCTATTGGGAAACTTGGATTGTCAAATTAGAACACTAAATTGAACAGGTAGTCTGGAATAGACAGTTTGAGTCACTTAAATCTTGTCTGGGGGAGAATTGGAACTAACATCTTTTTTTTTTTTTTTTTTTCTCCTCCTAGGAGGAATTGCTGGATATTAAAGAGCGTCCCTACTCTAAGCAAAGACCTTCTTGTCTCTCTGAAAAATATGACAGGTATTTTCTTGACTTTACAAGGGCTAAATACACTTCTTCCAAAATAAAAGTTTAAATTGAAAAAATCTTAGCTGAGACGTGTTCTTGTGCTGATGGGAGTTGTATGTGCTGCAGACTTTAGTGTGTGACAGTGTTCAGAAGTACTAATCTACTAGGAAAGGCTTAATAGTCTGGCTAGGGATTTTGAGCTTTGAACAAAGATTTTCTGCTGGATCTCATGTTATAATTTCACACAAGTCTTGCAGACAAAACTTCCAAGAATATAGATGGCTGTGTAGTACAGACTGACTAGGTCAGGTTGCAACAAGCTGCATTGCTTGGTGGATTACTCTCCCATGTTGACACTCTACCTCATTTGAAAAATGAAGGTGAGTGTTCTTGACTTGTTTATAAGTTTGCTGAGCACTAGTTTCTTTATTATTCAGATTAATTTATTGTACAAGTATGAGATTGAGGTAAAATTACATGAATGCTTAAGGGCAGCAGCATGTGATCGGTTTGAGCTGGTTTTCAGTGTACCAGGCAAACTTCACCAGTAACTAGTGAGGCAACATGTCCCTTTATCGTGAGATGCTGGGGATTATACTTCCTTACTGTTACAGAAAGGATCCAAACACCAGGTGTGAGGTAGTGAACCATTGTAGAAGCTGGGTATGAAAGATGTTTTACTTGTGCAGGTTGCTAACTGGTGAGTTCCAGATTGTCAGTAGCAGCACTATGAATTATTTATTAGACTACAAGGTAGAAAACAATCCTGCAATTTTATTTCCATAGTGATGGTGTCTGGGATCCAGAGAAGTGGCATGCATCTTTATATCCGAGTTCAGGAAGGACTTCACCAGTGGAAAGCTTTAAAAAAGATTTGGATTCAGATCGGACTTCTCTTATGCGCAGGATAATAGGTAGGTGTGTTCTTACAGCACAAGACTCACAACTGAACCTGGGCTGCTGGCAAAACCTTTCCATTGGGATAACATAAAGGAGACTAAACCAAGTCTCTGAAAATTTTGACTGCATAGTATAAGTGTTAAGGACATCTTGGCTGCTCCAATTAGACTGCAGTTGGGTTTCTAGTAACTTATCTAAGAACCAACCTAGGCAGCAGTCAGATATGGCCTACTGTTCTGGTCATGCAGGAGTAAATACCTTTGTGATAATGCATATGCAGGGGACAGTTTCTCTAATTCAAGGCTGAGTACTTAAAAGGTCTGTAGTGGGAAATCAGGGCCATCATAAGGGACCACAATAATTCCTCAATATCTAGCTGTAAATTCTTTTTTGTCTGCACTTCCTGTGGTCTCAGCTAGATTAGCTTCACAAAAATAAATCATGAGGGTTTTCCTTCAAAAAAAAAAATCTAGGACAGCAGCAAAGCTGTAGGGACAGGAGGATGTTATACAGACAACCCACTTGTCTTTACTAGTACCTTAAACTCTTGTGTGGTCTTCGACGTGCAGATCCAAGAGAGCGAGTGAAAGAAGATGACCTGGATGTGGTACTGAGCCCACAGAGGAGAAGCTTTGGGGGTGGCTGCCACGTGACTGCAGCGGTGAGCTCGCGCCGCGCGGGGAGTCCCCTGGAAAAGGAGAACGACGGCGTCCGCATGATCGGAGGCCGCAGGATTGGCAGCGGCAGAATCATCTCTGCGCGGAACTTCGATAAAGACCATCGGGGCGGTGACCCTAGGGATTCGAGAGACAGAGATCGTGACAGGGACTACAAAGACAAACGCTTCAGGGTTTGTTCTCTCTTTTCCTGATTGGTTATTAAATCAGGTTTGGGACACTGCACAAAAAGCACCGGGGCAGGTGAGCTGCATACAGCAGTTAAGGGTTCAGTGCAAGCAAGTCAGTTTTTATGAAAAATGCCTTTATGGTGTAAAGACTGTGAGCACTTGGTGCTTGGAAAACTTAGTTACATTCCTTCAGACAGCTCAGCTGGGATGATCCAATACTGTTTGTCTTACAAACCTTGCCTGTGGTTGACTTACTAGCAAGATACTCTGAAGTCTAATAGTTCATTTGTAGTTCTTGACCTAGCAGTTTTCAGTGAGCATTGTCTTTAACCTCAGCAGGTGGAAGCTTTCCATGCTTTCAGGCTTTTTTTAATACTTTTTTTAAAAAAAAAAAGGAGGAACCATTAGCCTAGCTCTCAGGATATAAAACTGAGTTTGTACAGGCTCTTGCAGGTCAATACTTTTGGTGTAATGAAGCAGAAATTTAGCTGTGAAGCTTAAAATTTAAAAGCTTACTGAGCATGCAGTGTGTGCATTTAAACTTTAAAAGAAGTGGTGTGGAAAGGTGGCCATTTGCTTTGGAAGTCAGGGAGGGAGCTCATGAAGCAGCATTTTATGGTTCATATTTTCGATATCCCCTTTCAGAGGGAATTTGGTGACAGCAAACGTGTCTTTGGGGAGCGAAGAAGGAATGACTCTTACACTGAAGAGGAACCAGAGTGGTTCTCTGCTGGTCCTACAAGTCAGTCTGAAACCATTGAGCTCACAGGCTTTGATGATAAAATTTTGGAGGAAGATCACAAAGGGAGGAAACGTACCAGGCGACGCACAGCCTCGCTGAAAGAAGGTAATGGCAAATCTGACAAGAGCTTTGCTTCTCTGCCAGTATGGCATGCTGCTGGGGCTAGAGGTGGTTGTTGCATATCCAGCAAGTGTAAATAACAGTTTACCAGCCTTTATCTTAAACTTGCATGGCTCTTAGTCATGCTGAAGCACAAGATGTAAGGCCTATAAAAGTATTTTCAATCTGAAAGATCAAGTAAGTGACAAAATACTATTTTTTTTCCACGTTGAGGCAGGATTGAGAGGCTTGTATGGATGTTAAATGATATCAGGAGTTAGTAGGCTATTAAAAAGTCTTGTTCATTTCTGTATCCTGCTGGGTGCTAAAGGCTTGGTTGAAATTAAGGTAATGCTCTGAGGTACTAGGAATATATTTTTCTTTATAGTAATACTGAGATTAGGAGCACTGATCTGGGCATACAGCTGCCAGTAATGTAGCTTCAAGCTGAATGTGGAGACTTGGGTTTGTGCAGTCACTGGACTTCAAGTCTACAATGATTATTACCACTGCAGAAGCTGCAGTATGGCAAGAGAGAGGATGACTTTTTAATGCAATAAATTCTGCAGGTGGATAACAGAAGTGAATACACAGCTACACCTGAGGTGTCACTGTGTTACAGTGCAGCTCCAAGCACACTGGGTTCGTAGTCATGGCATAGGTTTTTGGGTTTTTTGCAGTACCTGTGCAAGCTCGTTGAGTCTTTAAAGTGAGAAGTGCTTTGCTGCTGTTGGAGGTGGAGGAGCAGTATTTGTCATTTCTTTATGATATTAAGAACCCATATCAAGAAGGCAGGAGCTGCCAAAGGGTTCTTGATGGAAGTAGATGTGTGGTGTGGCATAACATCTGATGTCTCTCTGCTTCCTGGGTTGATCAGAATGCAGTTGTTCATGCATGGTTCAATCACAATTTTTATTTTCTTGAGCTAGGTAGTCTTAATAACAGACTAGAAGCTCTGTGCTAGGAGTGGTAGTAGGTGCTGTTCTCTGTGGCAACAGACTGCAGCCAGCACAATACAACTGATATCACATGGGGCTGAGGTACTTTGGGCCTGTTCTTCTAATCCCTAGGCCAAGCATGGGCTGTTAGGCACTCTTCCCACAGGAAATAGTCGAGTTCAGTGATTCAGCAATCACTTGATTTTCTTTTGAAGGGATAGAATGCAATGGTGGAGTGGCAGAAGAAGATGAAGTGCAAACTGCCCTTGCCAATGAAACTCCAGCAGATCAAGAAGTTCCTCGGGAAGCTGTTTTACAAGAACCAGCTCCAGGAGAGTTTGACTTCAATGAGTTCTTTAACTTGGATAAAAGTGTTCCTGGCCTGGCTTCAGTGAGTTTTCTGCTTGTGTTTTTTTTTTAACACTGGCTGATTCATGAGAAGCATTTTTGCTGCTGCTGTATTCCATAAAAGCTAAAATTTCTTGTTTTGTGTAGTTGCTTATGCAGTGTGTAAGTCTTAGATGAATTTGCAGAGATTTAGCTTTGGACTGTTAGGATGTTACTGATAATGTGTTTACATGGGACTGGCTCCATTTCCAAAGAGAGGGTTTGAGACAAACTATTTTTCCTTTCTTTTGATCACTACTTGAAGTCCTAAAATTGGCATCTTGAATGGATCTTCTTTGGGAGTGTTACAGATATGTTCAGGGAAGATTCACTGTACAAATTTAGTATAGCTGGAAACTGCCTTTTCCACCTCAATCTGGGAATTGCAGCAAGCTTTTGTGCAGGCTTCTTGGAGAGTGGTGAGCCTAGAGACACCTGATGAATACTGTCTGAGATATGGCTGCGCTGTTATCAGTGCCAGTAATGTGACTGAAAGGGGGATGGCTGAAAGGGTTTGAATCTTTACTGAAACCTCTGTATAGTGGTTAACTTACTTTTTGTAGAACTGTTGCTGCTGAATTGGACAAACACAGCCTACTAATTTAGTCAAAAGCCAAAAATTCTGACAGCAAAGCAACAGACCTGATGCAGTTTAGAAACGTTAAATTTTAAAAAAATTGAATCCTGACCTAGTCTTTAATGTGGATAAGCTGCTTACATTAGAAAAGATTAATTATGTGGTGGCAGTCATTTGACAAATACATAGAGGACAGTTTGATCTCCCTGGAGAAAATGTAAATGATGTCTTTAGACTTGACAAGCTGATTTTCAGCATACCTGCAAGATGGTGACTGCTTTCAAAAGCAGGGAATTCTCAAGTCAAAATATTTGCTGATGAAACAGATGGGCAGATGTTATAATTTGTCAGAAAAGTGAGTTTCTTTGTATTGGTGATAAGCCTGTGACAAGTGTTATTGTAGGGTTGTACATTTCCTGTCTTAGTTGTCTAAGATGTCAAATTCAAAGTCAGGACCAAGTGGATCAGTAGTCTTGTTTTTGCTGTTAGTGCTAAGTGCCCTTTATTTCAGAGAAAACTCTGATAGGAGGAATCATAGAATCATGGAATATAGGGGTTGGAATGGACCTTACAGATCATCTAGTCCCAACCCCCTGCCCTGGGCAGGGACACCTCCTCACTAGACCAGGTTGCTCAAGGCCTCATCCAGCCTGGCCTTGAACACTGCCAGACTGGGGCAGCCACCACATCCCTGTGCAACCTGCTCTTCCTCTTGTCTGAAAGAAAACATGCTGTGTGGTGAAACTGCATCAATGCCTATTGAAGAGGCTTTAACTGGGGGCTGTCTTGCAAGATGGGAAAAATTTTAGTTTGAGTTGTATTTCATAATGGTTAGCAAAGAAGTTAGTTGCTGTAAACTGTAGTGACTTCTGGCAGAGGAACTCTAGAGAGTGCTGCTTAGGGTCCTTGGCCTTGCCTGAGGTAGAAGTGCTGACTGCCAGTGCTGTGCCCATGAGGGAGGATCTGCTGTCTTTTGAAGAAGGCCACCCTCTTATTCCCAGAAGGGTTTGGCATGTGAAGTGCAAGCAGGCAGCCCTTAGCTACTGACCTTCTCCCCAGCTCTTGTGGGGTGCTCACGAGTCAGGGAGTAGAGTTCGCAGTTCATTCCAAGCACTGCCCTTGGCTGGTGCTAGAACTGAACTGAACCATCACTGCAGAATATCCAGTGCATCAGTGTACTCCTGTGCAGAGGCAGGGACAGCCCTGAGCCAGCTGGCTGTCAGAACTGCTGGCTGTTATAATTTGGTTTAAACCTTGTGACAAATGCCACTTTTTTATTTTTACACTTCCACTTCACAGTGGTGTAGTTCATTGTCTTTGGGTGCTCTGATTGTGCTGTTTCAGTTACAATTTTACTCTAAGCAAATATTTGGTGTAAATAAAAGATGTACACTGGGTTATGCTAACTGACTACACAAATGCTGCCATTCTGGAAGGAAAGAAGTCCTTCAAAGCATCTAGTCTTCTGTAGCAGAAGAATCTTGGTCATACAGTAAAGCTTCACCAGTATGTTGTTGATCTTTCTTCTCTTTAAGATGTTCTCTTTTTGCTTTTTCCTCTCCCATGACACAGATGATAGAGGATGTGCTGGGGGAAGGGTCAGTGTCTCAGCAGGTGGTTTTCCAACCCCAGTCGTTCTGGAAGTCGGTCAAGCAGCTTGAGATCTACACCACATGAGGAGCTGGAGAGGCTAGCAGGTAAGGCAGTAGGACAAGACATGGTCAGGTAGCCTCCTTCCTTATTCTTTCCTACTCATTCAGTAAGAGCATGGCAGATATATCTTTAGGATAGCAAATACTCCCACAGTTTAAGCACTTGACATTCTTTGGGAGGCTCTAAGAGTAAGCAGCTGTAAGTTGGTTTTTTAAATAAATGTTCTTGTCAATGCTTCCTGATGACTTTCCAGCTGATCTTGGGCAAGGGGTGCGAGGCGCAACTGCAGTGACGTGTTGAAGTTGGTTACCAGTGTGTGTTCACCTCGAGACATTGGGTTGGTAAACTGATGTCGCAGTGCTCCTGGTTTTGCTGTTTCAGGTCTAGAGCAAGCAATTCTCTCCCCTGGCCAGAACTCTGGAAACTACTTTGCTCCCATTCCATTGGAAGACCACTCTGAAAACAAAGTGGACATCCTAGAAATGCTACAGAAAGCCAAAGTGGACTTAAAACCTCTTCTCTCAAGTCTTTCAGCCAACAAGGAAAAGCTTAGAGAGAGCAGTAAGTGCCTCTTCAGATGTTGTCAAGTTCTTGTGATGCAGTATCTCACAGCAAGAGGCTTGGTATTCTGGAAACCTGAACTGCCAAATCCAGGACTAGGCAGTATTAGAGGTTTACTTACAGTACTGAAAAGCCAGTATTCAACAGATCTCAGCTGTGTCAATATCATCACTGATTCTTTTCATCCTAACCACAGGATGACAGCAGGACTCTATCAGACTGCTTCACTGGCCAGTAATAATCATAAGATGATGCAAGTCTCGATCTGAGTTCCCAGCTTTGTGTATGGCATTTCTATAAGGTTTTCATACTGGAGACTGGTAATGTCAGCTCTGAAACTGTGGCATTTAAACTCTGGCTTTACCGAAAATGGACAGTGTGAGTCATCCTTGCAAGCATCTGTCATGGGTCACATTGATCCATTAATATCAGTATCTAAGAAGTTGAACAGTGGCTTGAGGATGTGATTTTAATTTATTTTTCTAGTGCATACTGTAAACTTGAGCTTCTCAGGACCGTTGCTGGCACCTGAAGCACAGGGGTCTCTGTTCCCTGTTCAGTGCATTAATTAAATAACATAGCATAATTAAGAGAAATTTGTTCTTGACTAGAATCACACGGTTTCAAGGAACTTAATCTGTTAGAATTCACTTTTGTTGGCATCAGCTGTTCTAAACAGAGTTCAGGCCTGACTTTAATGTTCCAGGGCACCTCCAAGTTAGGGATTTGCATGTTTGGGCCCATAGCATGCATGGAGGGTACAAAATGCATGTGTTCTTTGAAATCTCAAGGTCTGATTCCAAATTGATTTCTCTCTGGCAAGCAGCATGTATTGCCGTGTAAAGTGGACTGAACAAAGTGATGCTACTGTGAGTTGTGTGAAGCAGCTGGGAAGGAAAGTATCCAAGCACTGCAGATATCCTTAAGCATCAAGTCTGGGATTAGGGAGTGTTGGCTAACATGTGGAGAACTTTCTCAATTTGACTGAAATAGAGCTACAAATCTTCTCTGTGTTCTGCTTAGTCTGACTTTCCTACTAAAAACTTTTTCAACTTTGATCCTCACAAACCAAGGATGAAGGAACAAAAATTTGTGGGAAAGCTTCCATTCCCTCAAAAGTACCTGAAGCAGGTTCTGTATTCCCATAAAATGCTGTGCAGTTCTTTGAGTGCTGTGGAGTTTTCAGGTCAATTCCACTCCAACATCAGTTTTCCTCGTTCTCCATACTGCATGTCTGCATCATTGTTTCTTTTCTCCACCTTCTTGCCCAAATTTCCAGTAAATCTTGTTTCTTTGAGCCAACATCTGCTACAGCAACCCATGGCATGCTCCTGTCTCTTCTTCCTTTTCTCTTAAGGTGTCACACCTTGTGATGTGTGTTAGCTGGTCCATAAAGCATGTTTAGCCTTGATGTTGGGCACAAAAGGTATTTCTACACATGCATACACAGGAAAAGAAGTGCTGCTAATGACACTTGTACTTTGTTCTGGTTATGCCACTGAAATCTTACTATGGAGGCTTTAGTTTCTGAGCAAAAAAATGTACTTCAAACTTTATGCACACCAAGCTAAGTGTGTCACTGAGTCTCCAAAGTATCTAGGTTTTCCAGGTATGTATTCTTTCTACCTAGGAGCTTCAGACAAATTGACTTTGCTTGCACTGTGGCTGTAAGACCATCTGGTCTCCTGGAGTCTAAGATTAATGAAACTTTCTTAATTGAAAAAGGACCAACTCAGTTGTTGCATTAATATTCTCTATGAAATGCAGGCAAAGTTGTAGAATGTAGTAACATGTCTTGCAGGATAAATGAAAGGCAGTAAGAACTTAGTAGCTGAAACCTCAGCAGGTTCTTGTGGAGTCTTACATGCCTGTAGTTGTGCATGTTGGTGCTCTGAACTCAGATGCTAGAGTATCAGTCTAAACACAGGTCAGATATGGTTTTACAGCTAGTATGAGTATCAGAAAATAAGTTTTTGGCTGTTCCTCATTTCCAAGTAACTTGTATTCAGCACCTGCACAAGAATTACTAGCTCACTTGAAAGCAGAGAATCCTGGTTTACCAGTATTTCTCCTGTGTTTCTCAGCACATTCAGGAGTTGTACTTTCAGTGGAAGAAGTGGAAGCTGGGCTGAAAGGCCTGAAAGTGGATCAGGAGGGGAAAATTGCCACTCCCTTTATGGCTGAGCAAATGGAGGAAGCATTGAATGTCTCTGGCTCCAGGCAGATCAAGAAAGATGGAGACATGACTGCGTTTAACAAACTGGTCAGCAGTATGAAGGCGAGTGGGACTCTGCCTTCACAGCCCAAAGTCAATGTAAGTAGCAGACACTTGGCTCTTGTGACCTGTGTTAACACATGGGCTATGAACTGAACCCCTTAGGTGACCCTTCTGATGGCACATGAGCCTTGACTTGGGTACAGCAGCATGACATGAAATACAGGCTTACATTTAGAGTATTGCTGCTTGGGGAGGAAACTAAGGAAGATGCTTTGATCACTTTTCCCTAGCCAAAGTGGGTCATTGATCAGTTCAGAGTTCACAGGGTTGATTTCATGTTAAGTTTCTGAAAACCCAGAACCCTAAGACTGTGAGAAGTCTAAGAATTGCTACCTTCAAAGTGGATCTGTATCTAATATCATTGATTAATATCTGGACTTGAAGACTGTACTTGCCCTAAGAAGCTCCTGTATGATGGAGAGGATGAACCTTTTACTGTAGAGGTTATTTCAACAGTGTCTTAAGATTTTTCTACACTTGAACCTTATTTAATATAAACAAATACATGTGTAGGAAAGGTACAGTCTGTGTAACACACATCAGTCCACTCTTCGTGAAGACTCACTGGTGTTAGTTTAATGGTTGCCTTAGTGCTGCTATTCTGTTAAAATGCTTGTAGTGTGGGTACAGCCAGCACTGAACCTGAAGCTCAGATATTTTTAGTGACCTCTGTTTTAGAGGTATGTCAGTGCACAATCTGATGCTTCAAACTTGGCTTTTAACATAATCAGTACTCAGATAAAACTGAAGTGAATACTTGTTAGCTGGAAGATTAATAGTAAATAACAGATGATACTAAGCTTTAGACTGTAAGAGATTGTAGGATGAAATTTCATCCTGCACTAACAGCCTGAACAGTTTACTTGCCCTAGAAGCTATCAATAACCACTTCTGGCACCATAAAATACTTTCAACAACTGAGTAAGTCTAAAGCATTTGTTTTTCCTGCCAGACTATACCCAAGGTCTTTCAGTCACATCCCATTTCACTAAAAGATAGTGAAGAATGTAAACTTGCCCTGTGAAGAATTTGCAGGTTGATTTCAGACTTAAATCAAGACTTTCACTTCTGTCTCTTTACATTCATGTGCAGTTTTGATGTGTAAAAGAATATTTAAAATAATTTCTCTAATACACAAACACTTTTCGGTTTGTGCGAATTTTCGGTTAACCACTGAATGTTCCATCCTCAGATTACACAGTTATATAATTTGTGTTTTACTCAGACTTGAATGATGCACAGTGAAGTGCCTGCATGCAGTCCAGCACAAGGCATTTTGTTAGCTAGGGAAGTTCTGTGAGCCAGCTAAGCCATTAACTTTGCTGCAGTTTCATTTGGCTGATACATGAAGTATGGCTCTAACAGAACAGGTGAGGGGTTTGTCTTCACTGAGACAAATGTGGATAGTCTCTTAATGAGTTTGGTTGTATCTATGTCTAATTTAGTGTTTTTGTTTCCTTAGCAGAGCCTTGAAAGCCACTTAATGTCACCTCCAGAGATGCCAGGCCAGCCTCTATCAAAGAACATTCTGCAGGTATTCTTACTGGGGGGAGGGAAGTACTTAAAAGCATATCCCCACTGGGAAAACAGTAATTACTTAGAAATAAGGCATTTAAGGCAGTTATGGGATCAGGAGTTAGATATGATACTGTAGAGAAGACAGGACGAGTCACTAGTTGTCATGCTGTTCCCTGTAACTGCAGCTTGAAAATGAAAAGCCTGCTCAGTGCCTAATTGTCGGAGCAAACCAGAATTGGTATCTAGTTGCACAAGTTCCCTTGTCCCTAACCTGCCATGAACAGGGTGGTCTGTAGCATAGTAAAATGAGCTGTTTGTGTAAATGGGTCATGTTTTGAACCTTCCTATGTTATTTATTCTTAGGAACTTCTTGGTCCACCCATTACCAGACCTGCTTCATCGAATGTCTTGAGCGGGCTGATAGGTGGTTTGGAGCCTGCAGCCTCTTTGCTGACACAGAGAGCTCCTTCTCCCCCCGTCCCACCCGTGTTCCCAACGCGAGCGGCTTCCGCGGATTACCTGCGCCACAGGATATCTTCCCCCATTGGTGAGGCTAGTGCACAATTGTTTTTGTGTTACTTGAGTTGGTTTGAAAACACACCTTATAGAGCTATACACTTCCTGGCACTTGGTGGGCAACTAGGTCAGTGTCTGCCTTTGCCTTTTTACTTATTGGTCTAATGTTAAATTGCCTCCAGAAAACTTAGTTATCTGATGATTCAGCCAGACCTTACAGTGAGTTCTGCTGTGGAGTAATGTGCTCAGCTGCTGTGTAAGAATCTCATTGTCAGGGACTACCTGGCTACTTGTGTTGCAAAACACTACCATAGCATCCTTTGCAGCACTTGAGCTCAGTGACAAGGAAGAGACAGCTCTGTGAGGATTGAAGGGGTGAGCTGAGAGTCTTCACAAGATGTCCTTAATTCATGTGGAATTGTTTTACTTCAGTATATGTATTGTATGCATTGCAAGAAACTGTTAGTTCATTTAAATACATCTGTTGCATGTTCTTTAGGTTTTGGACAAGGTTCTCAGCAGTTGCTTGGTGATCCATTTCCGGGTGTAAGGAAGTCCATGAGCCCTGTTGCTGCACAGGTTAGATGAACATGCTCTTTGTTTAATACTCATCTCTCTTTATATTGTGTGGTCTCAAACTAATTTGTGGGAGCACTCAGCTGTTGCATTCAGATGTTTGTGCTTCATTAAGCTTACTCTGAGTGTGAGGATGCAAAGTCTAATTTAGTACGATCTCTAAACCTCTTTGGAATTTGCCTCAAGTATGAGATTTTTTTGAAACTCGTCCTCTCTGTCAAGAAAACAGAGGCTGTTGGTGGGCAGACACTTTGTGAAGACATTAGTAGTTATAGCTGTCAGTCTTAAGTATCTTTAAAAAAAAACAAACCAAAAAAACCAAAACACAAAACACCAAGCAACCAGATCCAAACTTTGATCTGTGTGGGTTTTATGCTACTCTGCTTCAGATGAGTCCCTTGGAGATACAGCAAGCTGCATTAGAGGGCCTAGCACTTCCACATGACTTGGCCATACAGGCAGCAAACTTCTATCAGCATGGCTTTGGTAAACCACAGATGGACAAGAGCAGAGATGGCTACAGGAACAGGTGAGTATCTGACTGCAAAACTCAAGAGGTACACTGGTTTTTATTGTGGGTATTGTCTTTCACTACTATCAGCACTAGTCACACAGGTTTGCATTGGTTCTTGGCAGTGCTGCTTTTCATCCTGTGCCACAAGTACAGCCCCTTTTTTACTGACTCCCTGTCCCTTAGCAGGCAGCAGCGAGTGACTAAATCTCCTGCACCAGGACACAGAGGGAATGCATCTTCTCCTGCCCCTACAGCATCCATTACGAGCATGGTAAGTACCTGATGTACAGTGGTTGTAGGAGAAGCTGTACAAGTGTCTGCAGTGATTAGATAACAGCAATGGTTGTCAATGGGAGAAAGGGAGGCCATAGAGGAGTGAATCACTCATGATACAAGAATGAGTTGCACATCATGCTTAACTGGAAAACAGCCTTACCCTGCGCACTGTCTAGCCTAAAACTGAAGAAGCACTGTTGATGTTACCTTGACCTGGTCTTCTGAAACCAAATAAAGATAATTGTGAAAACTCAGGCCCTCGTATTTTGGTGCTTAAGTTTTCAGAAGAGAAGTGCTGAAAGCCATTAAGGCACTTTAGATAACACTGGTCTTTGGGTCCAAAGTGTCTGTAGGGAGGAACTTCAGGGTCACTTTGAAAATTAGTAAAATCTCAAAGCCAAGCTGTTGCCTCGCTGCCTTTAGTACTGTGCACAATGTTGCATTGATCCAACTTCTCCAATTAATCAGTCAAGTACTTGCTTGCAGCTATAAGACTATCACCTGCCAAATCAAACGAGTTTCTGTTTGTATACCAAATGAGTGACTTCCATGGGTGCTATGGAACTTTAAACGGGGGAAAAACACAAATGAGGCAATAGTTTTCTGCAGCTGTGTCAGCCCAGACTTAACACAGATAAAGCAGCTCTGTAGGAACTCCTCTGGAGCTGCTGTTCTGAACCAATAGCAAAGAGGAAACAGCTGTAACTAAAAATACAGCTCAGCTATTTTGTTTTAAACCTGTTGAAGTACATTTAACTTTGAGAACAGCAGCTGGTTTTAACAAAGGGTATTGGACTAGCAAAAGTTAAAGAAGAAGTGTGTAAACTGTAGAGTGAAGCTATGAAATGAGGTGAAGTAAAATCATGGCCACACGGCTGATCCCTACGAGCTTGGACTGGAAAGGATGTGTCCACCCACAACAGAGATAATGTGGCCTTGGATAAGCACTGAGTAAGACATTGCTATGTCCTGCGTTCTCTGCAGCTGTCTCCTTCCTTTACACCTACCTCGGTGATTCGCAAGATGTATGAGAGCAAGGAGAAAAGCAAGGAGGAGCCAGTTCCTGGGAAAATGAAAATCGGTGACATTAAAGATGAAAATCAGAGACCAAATGAAGGTATTGTAATGGCTTTAAACTACCACAAACAAAACGGATTTGGAATAGAATCAAATTGCTTCAGCACAT